TCACCTTCCAGAATCAATGGTTTAAGAAAAGAGAACAGTTGTTCGTGTGAACAACTATATCAACAATCCTCCCATTCTATTTTCCACTTACCTACATTCTACCACTGATGTTTCCCTACTTTTCAAGCACAAACACGAGCATTCAGAATATGCAGAACAAACCATAAACACAGGTTGTTCCTACAGGTGAAGCCCAACACAGCCTGTTGTTACATGACAGCCACTTTTAACACAAAGAGCCCCCTGTCCCACCTTCTCCCACCCCCAGCATAGTGAGAGCCGCATCTTCATCACTTGCTGTGTGTCTGTCACATGCACAGCCCAAAGGAGTCACAAATTGCTCCACACAAGTGCCTCCCAAACAACACAGATGCAGCATAATCCCATCCTTCAATGCCAGACTGGTGCCCATGTTGTCATTTCAGAAGCCAGTCAGGTTCTTCCACCTTCCACACAGGAGTTGCAGTTTTCCTTTGAAGAAACCCAAAAGCACAAGTCCCTGCCAGGTGTGGATGTGTATGAAGCCATCATTTTCTGCCGTTCACTTCTGACAAAGGGAAAATCAGGTCCCCTCAACGGGAGGAGGACACACACACAAAACCAGCAGCATATCCCTTCATGTGGAGCCACATCTCCGCCACACACAGAAGCGAGACCCCGCTGGGAGGAGTGCTGCCCTTACCTTAATGATGCTGCTCCTCCGGGGGATGCCGGGCTTGCCCTCCCGCTGCTGCCCGCAGGGAAACCCTTTCTCCTTGCCGCTGTTCTCGGGGCTTCCGGGGGGCGCGGATCCCGGCTCCTCACCGGCCCCCGCCAGCGCGCAGTCCCCGTTGGAGACGCGGCCGCCGGCGCTGTCAAAGCGGACTCTCCCACCGCCGCCTCCGCCGTCCCCGTCGCCAGCCCTGAAGGCCACTTTGCCCTGCAGCGGCCCCGGGGAGCCGGGCAGCCCCCCCGCCGCCGCCGCCGCCGCCGAACTCCGCCATCAGCCGCCGGGCTGCAGCAGCGCAGCGCCGCGGTCCCCCTCCCCTCTGCCGCAGCCGCTGCTCGGCGGTGCCGCTCCTTCCGCTTTCTGGGTATTTACGAGCGGGGGGGAATCAGCAAAAGTCTCTCTCCGCCGCTCATTTGACACCGAGATCGCGTCTCTCCAGGAGGTTGGTGGGGGGCGGACGCCTCGCTGTCGTCTCTGCGAGCACCAGCGCTCGGTCCGTCAGCCCTTCAGCACCTGGGAAAGGAAAAGAGGCGAAACGTGACGGGCTGCTCTCGCACGCGGCGGCGGCGGGGGGGAGCGTTACACCGCGGCACTCGCACTCACTCATTCACACACGCACGCACACGCGGGTGGGAGGAGGGCCCGCACGCAGCCCCGCACCGGACGAGCACAGCCACCAGCTAGGGCACCTCCTGCTCCATCGCGTGCTGAAATCGGCGTTTTCCCGCTGACACCGACCTCGCCATCACAGCCCGGCGCCAAAAAGCGGGAACGTGGCGAGAACTTGAGTGCAACACCCAGGACTCCCCCGGCGGCGGCCAGGCGCAGTCCGTCTCAGCGGCGCGGCGGCGACCCGTGGGGCTCCGGGAAGAGCGGGCACCACCAGCCGCTCCGCTGGCCGCCGCCGGCAACTTTTCTTCCCTCCCGCCGCCACCCGCCCCTCGCCGCGCCGTCCCCGGGTAATCCGCTGCCCGCCCGTCCCCGGCAGCCGCCCTCCCGCGCCCCCGGCCACCGCCCGCCGCGCCCCGCTACCCACCTCGGCTGCGAAGTGACGGGGGGTTCCCTCGCCGCCGCCGCCCCGGAGACGCTTTTCCCCCTCTCCCCTCCTCCCCGCTACGGTCGCCGCCTCTGCCCGGAGCCGGATACGGAGAGAAACTGATTCGCGTGGCCGCTTGCCTCGTTCTTCGCGCCGCCTCCCTCGGCGGAGCGCCCGGCGGCCCCGAGCAGGCAAAACGCCGGCAGCGCCGAGGGCAAAGGCGCCCCGGCCGCCCCCGCTCGGAAACTCTCCGGGGAAAGCAGCGCGAGCGAGCCCGGCTCCCCCCCGCCCGGCGCTGCCAATCACGGGGGCGGCCCCGCGCGGATTGGGCGGCCCCGCCGCCAGCAGCCCCCCCTCCGGCAACTCGGGGCGCGCCGCCGGGGGCAGGACCCGCGCTCACCGCGCTGCGAGGAGGAAGGGAGCAGCGGGGCCGGCAGCGAATTCCTCCACGCGCGCCCTCACCGCTGAGGGCTCCTCGCGCTCCCGGTGCTCCCGCCGCCCCTCCGGCGCTGCGCCGTCGCCCGGCGAGAGCTGCCCGCCCTCGGAGAGCCCGCCCGCCCCCAGCGGCCCCGCCGGAGCCCCCCGCCGCGTGGGCAGGAAGGGCGGGGGCCGGCGGCCGTTCCGCGCTGTGAGGCGATACCTCAGCTGCAGCCTGGCGAGGGCTTCCCCGAGGCAGCCAGTGAGCGCAATTAGGCCTGTTAATTAATTAGGGAAAGACAACGTGGTCAAGCGCAGGACTAACGATAGCATAATGAGAAAAGTAACGTGGTGGTCACCTCGAGATGTGTCCATTGCAAAGCGAGTGTGACTGGTGTGCCCTTACGTACCACACTTGTGCATTCAGAACGTGGCCAAACAAGCTCAAGCAACAAGAATTAGGGCCCGAGGGAACAGCGTGGAGCTGCATGGGGGCGGGTCAAGTTGGGTATCAGGAAAAGGTTCTTCACCAGAGGGCAGTGGGCATGGATCTGGATGCCTAGGACAATGGTCACGGCCCCAAGCTGCTGTAGTTCAGCAGTGTTTGGAAGTGCTCTCAGATACAGGGCTTGAAATTTGGGTGGTGCCGTGTGGAACCAGGAGCTGGACTCAGTGGTCATTATGGGTCAGTTCCAACTTGGGACATTCTGTGGTTCTATGACTTGATGTATGAGGAATAACTTAGAGATGTATGTTTATTTGTACTTTTAGATATAGTTGTATATTGTGATGGCCCCATATTTCGTCATTCATTTGAGCGAAGGAATACAAAACGGCACAGCTGAGGCAGGGCCCTCTGTTCATGGTCAGTGCTCTGCTTGAAGCATGGCCACATGAAGGGTGGGAGCAGCAGGAGGCCTAAGGCTGCCCACACTGCCTGACCTTCAGCATTCAGCTGGTGCATAACACAGGAGCCAGGCACACCTCGCAGCCCATCACAGGCCCTGCACTTTTCATTCAGATTCCTCTGGTTGTCCTCTAGAGACCTTGGCATCTGAGATAAGGTGCCTACCAAAGATGCTTAGAATAAGGCAACACAAATACCCAGCTTTGATGTGTTGTGCCGAGTTACACAATGGAAACACTGAAGAGCTTGTTACAAATTCTACCCTTCAGCAGCAGGATGTAACCAAGCACTGCAGAGCAGCACCCTTCCAAGGGAAAGCACCCGACCTTCTCCTGGGGACAGCTCTCTGCCCCCTCTCAGCGAGAGCCACAGGGGAGGCTGTGCCATGCTACAGGAAGGGAACCAAGAGACAGCGGGCCCTGAAGAAGTTGGCACAGAGCAGAAATGCTACTGCAGGCCAGAACCTGTCTGCTCAAGGCTGCTCTTCAATAAACAGCTGTCCGGGCAGCAAGGAAGGCACTGAACAGCTCACCTGTGCAGTGAGAGGTCCAGCTACTGGGATGCAAGAACCCATGTGCATTTCTTGAACTGCTTTGTAGAAGTGCTGCCCCACTCTCAAGGAATAAACCAGCTGAGGGTCCATAACAATAACATATCACATCCTTAATTTCCAGCTCATGACAACGTTGTTGGCCACCACAGAAAAAAGGCACCAGGAGGTGTTATCCAGCACAGGGGAGTATGAAGAACATTTCCTGCTCAGTGTCATTTCTAATGACTCAGAACCTGACACTGTTACACCACTCATCTAAATCATTCCCAGTTTTAATCAAATATTCACATAACGTTAGTTCAAATGAAAACCAAAGCATGTGCAGGGTACAGGCTGCAAACTGCAAAGAACATCAACATTAAACTTCAGATTCAAAATATCCAAAGTTTCTGGTTTCCGTGAGCCAGAGATAGAGAGCTTTCACCATGTGTCCTCATCTGAACATCTGCTCTTGCCCAAATGTCTTGCCACTGAAGTAGGAAAAGTCAGTCTTGCATATTAAAGCAGCCTTTAGCAGTGTATCTACCGATGAGCACATCACAAACTGCTCCTACAGGAGACACTTTAGGACCACCACAATTTCTTCTGGAGGATGAGAATTACACACAGCAGACAGAAAGTGCTATAGATTCGTTTGTCGCAGAACATTGCCAGTAAGCTGGCAAGGAAGAAGACACATGTTTTCAGTGTTTTTGCTATTCCAGATGCACATAATAAAACACCACTTTTTAGGCCTTTAACAATGTTTGATCAGTTCTGTCTCAGAGAAAGAAAAAAACAAAGTAAAAAAGAACACTTCCTTTTCCAACTCTACTTATCTATCCAACCTGTACAGATACAAGATAACAACGCTGAAAAAGAAATCATTTAGCTGCAGCCTTGGCAGTTCTGTAATGAATGATATCAAGAACTTGCAGACTTTTGACCATAAAGTGATGATAATACAAAGCAACCAGTAAAATTTCTGAACGTCATCTGAAGGGCACATGCCTGAAAACTGATTTTGTTGTACTGGCATTGTGCTTATTCTAATACCTTGCAGATATTTAGTGACTGAGAAAACATGAGTGCCAGATGCAGAACTACAGGGGTTATGCTAGAAAAATAGAGATAGCAAATAATGGTTTCTCCAGTTGTGAGATTTCCTCCATTACTTTTCGTTCCCTGATTTTTATTATTGCCCCCATTTCTGTTTTACGGATTTTCCTTCCATGAGTAAAACTATTAAAGAGTGTCCAAAGGAAAGCTACAAAGACAGTGAAGGTCTAGAGAGGAATGAGGTATGAGGAGCAGCTGAGGTCCCTCGGTTTGCCCAGCCCAGAGCAGAGGAGCTGAGGGGAGGCCTCACGGCAGCTGCAGCTCTCATAGGGAGCAGAGGGCAGCGCTGAGCCCTGCATTCTGACAGCGACAGGGCCTGAGGGAACAGCGTGGGGCTGTGTCAGGGGAGGGGCAGGTTGGGTGTTGGGAAAAGGTTGTTCACCAGAGAGCAGTGGGCATGGAACTGGCTGCCCAGGGCAGTGGTCATGGCACCGAGCTGATGGAGTTCAAGAAGCTTCTGGACAATGCTCTCAGACATATGGTCTGATTTTTGGGTGGTACTATGTACTCCATATGGTACTCCATGATCCTTATGCGTCCCTTCCAACTTGGGTCATTCTGTGATTCTATGAATGTGGTTATTCAAATGTGTTTTGAACTACTGCCATACAGAAAATGAACAATTTCTGATAAACCAAAGTCTCAGAAGTGGCCACAAAATTGGCCTTTGCTTATTGATACCTTGCTTATCCTTGCGAGCTCAAGGTTCCAAAGCATAATAATACATGTAATACAAATGTAAACCATGTACTTTCTTTGCCATAACTTTTGAATGTCAGAGAGTGAAGAAACTTTCTTGCTATTATACAGTGTTGGCCTCAGCAGCCTTATTTGTTTACTTGTTAAATGAAATAAGGATTGTAATGGAATCAAAAGACACTTTTGTGACAATATTGAACTGTGAGGAGTTGCTGCCATGTGCACATATTAGCTATTTCCATAAAATCCTATTAAATATCAGAGTTCCACAGCTAAGCTAATATTACCCATTGAACTTTTCTAACTCAAATAGCATGGCAGCAGAAACCTGCCAAGAAACAGACCATGTTTAAGTCCCAAGCCAGCAATTACACAACCAGTAGTATTTAAATAAACCAAATACTATTAGGATGTTTTTACTAATATCCTAAATATTTTTTTTTTATTCCAAACACGAGAAGTTTTAATTAGCAATTAACTTGTCTGAACGTTGCTTTTCTGACATCTCTGCTTGGAATTTGTTTTTTCATTATTGTAAGTATCTCTGCAATTCCAGTGATAATTTCTTAAATTGCCTGACTTCACTGTTCAGGTCATGATCTTGCATATACTCGTTTATTATTCTTGCCTATAATTAAGTATACATGTTTAAGTAGTCCTATTAAAGTCAGAATCTAATTCATAATTAATCCAAAGCAAAGTTTAGGTATAAATAATGCATTACTGTATACATCTGTAAAGTGCAGGTGTGCTGTACGCACATAAGAGGAGACTTGGACATGTGAGGGAATATGAACTAATGGGTTTCTAAGATAGCAAAAGTGCAGGTAGGCAAACATAAGCTAAATCAACTGACTTATTGACTGGAAAGCATTTGTTAGTACTGTGTCCTTGAAATTAATTATATTTATCATTTTGGAGAGTTCACTACACTTGCAGTAAGTATGGTGATTTTTATATATGTATATTTTTTATTATTTTTTTTTAATCAGCAGATCAACCATTTCAGCCTATTAATCGCAGCCTAAGGAATGTTTACCCTCTGTCCTACCTATCATGCCAATTAGTTTGGCTAACAGCCTACTTAATTTGACAGCTGAGGATTAACAAGAGCTTAACAGTTCCCCTACAGACTACTGAATCCAGAAGGGATGCTTTTCCAAATCAAGATCATTCAAATGTTATTCTCTGAACTGCCTGTTATTAAGACTATCATGCTGTGGGGTTAGCTGCCTGCAATGTAGCCTTAAGTCACACTGTTTTGAAAACGAGAGTCGTTGTTCATACGTTTAAAAAAGGTCAAGATTTTTCAAAACTGAATAACAATGTTCCCTGCCTTTTAAAATATTGAACTAGACGCTTTAATGGAAAGTTAAAGAGCAGACATAAAGGTCTTTCTGGAAATCCAGTTCCCCTAAGGCCTTAGTTTGCAAGCTAAATATTAAGCCTCGACTTAGGCACTATTTTCGAGGTACTGTGTTGAGAAGTTATTTCTAGTGGAAATGAGAGTTCATTGCACCTCTTTGCCACTCTTCAAAGCACTAACAGACAAACAGTTTTCTCTTTGTTTCTAGCTTGGAGAAACTTATTTCATAACAATAATATCTGAGGTTATTTTGGGTAAAGCTTCCATGGAGCAAAAATTCTATTTTCTTCTATGAAAACAGACAGACACAGTGAGTAAGATTTGCATCATGAGCACTTAAACGAAGGCACATATGTTTTACCAGAGAGACCACAACAACAAACTTGCTCTTGGGATGCTTCTTTTGCATCATTACAAGCAGCATGCAACCACAGTTTGCCACCTCCTCCGGCTGTACTCTGCCCTCTAAGGAGAAGTTACAGAGTTACAAAATGGGCTGAGAGCCAGAATTCTGGGAAGGATTGGGTTTCATTTTGTCTCTCCTTACATCTGTTGGTAACTATTGGACATATGCAGAAACATTTGACTTCTGGAACATAAGGCATTTCATAAGTCATCTATTCTTGTAATTAGAAGAAACGATTACTGTGGGAGCTTGCAAATTAAGCTGACTTCAATGGATTTCATACCTTGTTAAAACCTAAACTACTCTTGCAAACTAACCAAAGCATCAGTACTGACAACATCTTTCATTAAATTCTCACATAGAAAAAGATAAAGCTTGTAATTTGTGATTTCAGGATGATATGCTTTGCAAATTCTCTTCACAGTTGCATATTAAACTTTTTCACGGCTTTGAGGGAAATCACATCTCTTCCATTATAGGAGAGTAGGTAAATAAAATAAATTGATTTTTGTCACCTGAGCTCCTTCTATAGTTTTGCCCACTTTATCATGTCCATGAGGCTAAACGGTGGGTCTACCCATGCTGCAGTGCATTATGACTTTACTTTGAGGACCAAAGTTAACTCATACACACTGCTGCTACTAAGCACTTAACTGTGGGCTGGTGACAGTGTAACTAGTTATAAAATTTAAGACACACAATACCACAGAAAAGGGAAAATATATGTATAAAAGAGGAATGAAGTTCTAGCAATGAATGTCAGTCAAAATCCTCATTAACCAATTCAACCTAGACATGTTTCTGAATTATAAAAAGTCATGCAGGACTTAGCATATGCCTGCTAAAAAAGGCAGAACAGGAGTTCATTAAACTCATCATACCCTCAAACAGAAATGGATTTTATTTCAATCATCTGAGAAAACTACAGTGGACAAATCATTTGAAACAGTTTTTTAAAATGTTACTAACACATGGTGGAACATGTAGTTTTTCTTGTTGTTTGAGGCTGGTAGGCTGATTGCATCACCAGGGTCAGTGAGACTGTGTTCCTTATTAAAACTTGTCATGCAGTTCCTTAATCCTATTAATTACTTTTGGATTGCTCACATGCATAAAATGATCACCAGACTTTGTCCCACAGAGATGGCAAGCTTGGCTGTGCTGAATTAACCAGCACAAGCCTCAACAGAAATTAATTCCAGCCTTTAATGTTACCTAATCTTTCAACTTCTGAAGCATAAGTTAACAGTCATACTAGTTTGCTTTATTTTTGGCTATAAAAGTTGCTAATAAGTCACAGTATTTATAGATGCTTTCATATGCATATTCAAAACGTCTTTACTGGAAATAGCTTCATGGTTGAAACATCTGGTCAGACATCTCAACTAAGCATCTATTGTACTATTACCACAAATACTGATAGAAACACGGTAAGTAGAAAATACTCTTCTTAATCTCTCAAGCATTTATGTTCTGCATAAAGTATCCACGAAAGTCAGAGTCCTGACTATCAGTTGTAACTTTTACTGTGCTCTCTGGATTTTTCAGATCAATGTCTATGTACAAAATGTCACTATTAGTATATGGCAACTTTGTTTTCTGAGTAAACAGCAGCTGAAATAAGGGGAAGTCACCACTTTTCCTTCTGCCATAAAAACAGAAGGGAAATTCCCCACTTCTGTTCTTTGCTATGGCAAAGTACTCCTGGAAGAAGAGGCACCAAGAGGAGGAACCTGAAGTGGGACAATGGTAAGACTAACCAGTACCTGAAGAATTTCTAGTTCTCTCACTTTTTGCCTGCAAGTAAAAAATATTGGCAGGCTGGGAAAGCAAAGTTTTTCCAGCTTGCAATCCTCTAAGTCATTTTCATGTGTTAAAAAACATTTCCATTCTTCATTCCCCCAACCAGCTCCGACTTCCTGCTAGGTGACCAAAGGAAGACCTACACTTTTCCCTTCAACTCACTGTAAAAATTGCTTTTTGTCCCACTATGTAAGATAAAAAAACTACAACCAAACAGTATGATCAGTCTTGGTAACTGCCCAAAGATGGAAGGAAGAATGAATGGATTAAAATGATTAATGAAAAGGGAAAACAGCAGAAAGGATCAAAAGGACATAGCAGTAAAAACTGTTAACATTCATTTATAACAAATTTCAGGATTACTGTAATCACACTTCATAGCATTATGTGGCTGAGGGATGGGGAAATAGAAAAAGAATGGAGTCAAAGTTGGAGAGAAAGATAACACCAAGGAACTGGCAAATAGAAAGCCACGGTAGGATAAAGACAAGAACTGCTAGCCATTTAAATCAGAAAAACAACTGAAGAAAAGACAGAAGTGGCAGTTAGAGGAAGTTAGAGAAAAAGGCTTGTAAGATAGAAGAAATACATAATAAAGAATGTCTTGAGACTATTACAATGAAATTGAAGGAATTTGTTTAGCTGTCAAGGGTTTTGACTGTATAGCAGAAGCAGAAAACTAGACAGTCCTCAAGAAAAGATTGTTAATGCAAGAACTACACATCTTCAGATATGATGATGAAGTAACAGACACAGGCTGAAGAAGGGATTTTTCTCCTTCAAACAACTGTTATATTTCTGTATGCATATGGCCTGACAGAAGAAGCTGAGGTCTAAATGCATGCTTCTGGACTTCTTTGTGTCATCATTTCAGTACTTAGTAAGGCCACTTTTTGGGGAAAGAGGATGTCAAGTTCTTGCTGCACTTAAAAAAAATCCCATTTTTTTTCCCTACATTCTGAAATTCTTCCCAATCAAGAAACAGAACACAAACGTCTGTTTCTATGAAGAATAAGATTGCTGATTTAATTGTTTCTGAATTAATGTTATTTATAGCTGCATTACAAAAAAAGACGGAAGGTTCAAGATCAAGGCTCTCTGCCACTGCCATTGTACAAATCCATGCCACCTTTCACTTCAGAGCTGGCCCCTTGCCATCCAGCTTGGAATGCAAACAGGACGATCTTTCGTCTGCTTGAAAAAGACCCCATAGACCTTCTCTGCAAAATGTTGGAAATGTCCAACAGTTAAATATGGATCCTCCAAAATTCCTGTCCCTCTTTCTAATCACTTGATCATCTTTCTCCTCCATAGAGAAAAATAGCTGCTGGTCCACATATGTGCAACTTGAAGGAATTCAGGACAAGGGGCAGTGAAGAGCTGAAGCCCTGCGTATACCCAAAGGATCTGCCAGTTTGCAGCAATGGAGCTCACTGACTTCTAACAGTTCTAACAGAAAATTCCCTGTATTTTCATTTGTTTTAATTATGTTAAGGTACTTCATATATTTTAGGTTTATTTGAAGTCTCAAGAAAAATGCATTGTACTAATACCAGCCATTTTACATGAATGATTCTGTACAGGCGAAAAGGTGGCATTGCCAATGAAGGGAAGATTATCTTGGTTAATCTTCATGAAGAGCAGCATTTTAACATAAGACAGGCAATGAAATTCAATGACTGATTTACTTAAGTTCATATGTTTCATATCTTATAAATCTTTACAAAGGCTCCCGGGGTATTTAGAAATGCAGGTGTGTTTATCCCAGCTCCTTGCAACGAAGTTCAGCTCTTTCTCTGACCAATTATCCCAGAACTTTGATTTTGCTGTTTTCATTCATGATTTCTAACTGAGAAGGTACCACTTAAAATGTTTAAATATTGTGCAGAGGGAAAAAGCAGTTTCTTTGGCTTCTATTTTTTTCCTATCTAACTTGTTGAATTCTTAATAATACTTCGTTTCACATTGTTTATCAGCATGGTCTCTGGATGAGGATTATGCTCACACATGGTCAAGGCTATTTTCTTTGTTTTCACATTCTGTAGTGAGTATCCTTTGTGGTTTTTCCCAACAAAATTCAAAGCTGTGCTCTGGAAAAAATAGATGAAGTTACATCAAGCAAACAAAATAGATGTTTGTAGCAAGAAAAACTATGTGAAAAGATCAAGTAAAGCTGAAGAAGAGAGCGTATAAAGCACTGTTCCCCGGCAATTGGCCATAGGAAGCACCTCACAAATACTGGTTGTAAGTCTAAACATGAGTTGCCCAAGAGAAAGAGAAAAATAGGCCAGAAAAACACTATGTTCCATAAATGGATATTTTACCTGAATTTCTGTTTTTGGAATTGATTTAAAATTGTGATAGGCGAAATGACTTACAAATCCAATGGGAAACCAAAAGAAATTCAGCAAAAAAAAATTCGCCCTAAGGCACTAAGATTGTTTCATTATATGTAAACTAATTTTCCTGAAACTGGTAATTTTTTTTTTTTTTTTAATTTAATCAGGAGTAACCTAGGATAGACAAACTGCACAGTAATTCTCTCTTCTCCTTATAGATAAAGGACAGATCTTTTGGTTCACCAGCACAGATTTCTCTAAAATGCCTGCCAGGCAAAACAAAGATTCCATCTTGGTTTAATACACTTCAATATGACAGTTTGAACATTAGAAATCCACCAAAGTAATTAAAACATACTATTCTATATACAGAGCCACTTTTCTTTCACATGCCAACTACAATTAGCTATAGTCTCCTTTGTGATTTACCTTAGCCTAAAGGAGCAGTGTTAGATAAGTTGACCTATGGGTTCCTCAGTTGTTAGGATGGCAGAAAGTTGGTACAGTACAAAGAGGAGGTCAGTTATTCCCAGAGAAGCCAGAAGTACTGGGCAGAAGCTTGGCATTACATAATTTACATCTTGCAATTTATGACTTAATTAAAGCTCACATAAATTACCTGAACATCTGTATTTTGTGCTGCTACCTAGGGCTCTCACCATATTCTTTATAGCGCTGTCAACTAAAAAGGTTTACATAAAGATACTTTTTTTTTTTCTTGTATAAAGACAGTAGCTGAGAAATTCAGTTCAAGGACTATCTATGCATATGGGCTCACATTATATTCACTTAGGTCAGTATATTCAGAGGATGGCTTGTATTCAGATTATTTCCTTTTTTATGTAGCCAAGTGCGAGCAGCTACTCTGAGCCTTCACAGGCTGCAGTCCATAGACATGGAACCATACAGAGGGCATGAATGCTAAGGATCAGTAAAGAAAGAGAATACTGCATCCTTCCAGCAAGATGATTTTGAAACTATACCCCTTTTTGTGTTCACTCCTTTGCTGGCACTCTAGAAGCAGTAATGCACAAAATAGTCCTCCACTGCAAAATGAGTGCAAAATGAGTGCAAAAAAGATTTTTGAGTTTCTAACAAGATAAATCATCATTTCAGCCAAACCCCCCCTCGCTTTCCAGGCCTATTCCATGTTTCAGATGCCTCATGATGCTTCTTTTCCATTCCCTAGTATTGCTGTCTGTATGTAGTAATAGTATTCTCTACAATAATTCCAATAATTAATGATAAACTACACTCATTAAACAAATGAACAAATATCTTACAATCTGATACTGTCCTTTTCTTATTTCCCTACACCTTACCAGGACTTTTGTAGTCTACAGACATTTGTAACAGATCTCCTTGGCACTTTGGAGTCTTATCTTACAAAACACAAAATGTTCTGGCTCTCATCCAGGAAAGCACTTAGATACATGTTGACATTTAAGTAGATGAGTGGCCTTAGTGAGGTCAATTGAGCTACTTATTTGTGTAAAGCTAAACCCACTCTGAAATATTTTGTTCAATGGTTGCTGACGATTCAGCACTTTGAATGACTGACCCCTCCATGAGATCACACACAATTGTTATTATTACTGCACAAATGCTTTATGTAATAATTGCTTTCCAAATGATTAGAAATATTCAGGTTTATTCAGCACTTTGAATGACTGACCCCTCCATGAGATCACACACAACTGTTATTGTTACTGCACAAATGCTTTGTGCAATAATAATTTATTTCCAAATGATTAACAATTACTGTACCTAATTTATCTAACCCCACAGAAAAGGTATACGATTATTTCCAGTACTTATAAGGTATTTCTAATTGCCTCTGTGAATTTCTGTAGTGCTTTGAGGTGTTCATGTGGAAAGGATAAGGATACACTACGGCCTGGGTGAACCTCAAACCTGCCCCACTGAGCATAGCTGTCTCTCATGACCTTGCGCATCAGATGAGCATTACACCTCTAGTTATTCTCAAGTACAGCCTTGCAGATGCTAGCTGCTCCTGCATCTTCCTGGGGGAGCATTTTTTAAACCAAGGTAAATGACCAGACCCAAAACTTGCAAGCGTTTTTGATAGGAAAAGAACATTGAGATACCTCAGTGCTATGTTTCTGGGCTTATTGTAAGCTCAGAGTTCATTTTAATTCTTCCTCTTGAGAAACTGTATGGCTGTCTGCCATCGTTGTTTATTTATTTTTCCCCTGTAACTTCTGAACAGAAATTCACACACATACACACACACACACAAAAGAGGTTTTGGGTTTTGTGGTCACTTACTGTTCTTTGTTTGAAGTACCCAGCACAGAAGGAAAAGAAGATACACCTCTCATGAGAGCTGAGAGGAAAGTCCAAATACGTCTGGCCCTTACTAACCCTGTGACTCACTGGATTGAGGCTTTGAGAGCTCGGAGAAGCACACTGGTTAACAAGTGACATGATGATAATTGTGGCGTCACAACAACAGCACCAGCTTGGTCTGAGCTGCACTTTCAGCTTCCTTCAGACTTCCGTCAAATCACTTCTGTTAATGACTTGAACAAACAATTCCAAGGTTTTGGAGCAAAAGTCTTTTTTTGGTCCTGATATTTATGTTTCATCTATTATATACATTCTTATACATAACACGAAATATTAACTAGCAAGATCCTAATTAAGAATTTTCCAGAGTTTATTTACTTACATTTTCATGATATTCAAGTCCTGGAAAAGCAGAAAGTGAACGCACTACTCGGGGCTGCCGTCCCCTTCATGCACTCCTCATGCCACACGTCAACTCCCTGCCAACAACGGAATGCCACAGCAAATAATTGCAAGGGAGAACATCTCTGACCAGCTATTCCAATGCACAACGATCACTGAAATGAAGTATTCCATGAGTAAGCTCATTTTCAAGCCGTGTTTAAAATTAGCACCCTTTGGCAGCAGGAATGTTCCTTTTTCTTACTGCATGTTCTCGAATACTTTCAGAAGCATCTGAAGATGCTTAACACCCTCCCCACAGCACACCAGCATTCCACGAAGTAACACATTTCCCCACAGGTAAACCCAGCAAAGATTCTGAGTTCAATCAGTCAACGACACCTGGAAATTCAATGACTATCTCAGAACACGCTCAGGCTCTACGAACCTTGTAACTCCTACAGCAGGGCCGTGACTGGCAGCAGCGAGCTGCCTTCAGGAGGTCAGAGCTTCCTGCTGCTGTGCTCACCGAGCCCGCCGTGGTCAGGAGCAGGAAGTCAGGGAGGCGTCACAGAAAAGTTCGTTAACCAAGCCGCTGAAACCCTCGTGAGCGGCCTGTCTGAGCCTGGCCAAAGGTTACTCTGCCTCCTGAAAACTCATCTAATCTGCCTTCTCTGCTGCGGACTTTCTGTTGCGTATAAAACAGGAAGCTATGGCCGCAGTGAGATCCAGCTAAAATATCTTTCATTTTCTTTCACGCTTGTTTGACTCGGCTAATCTGCTGTTTAATTGTTTTTATTATGGTGCATAGCACTTTGGTAATCCAAGAACTGCCGGAGCATTCTGGCGTTGATAAGACATTTGTGACCACCAGGACTCGTTGAGAACATCAGTTCAGAACATTTCTGTTTGTTTTGCTACAGCCCTGCTAGCACACTATTCTGAGAGGAACACACCTTCTGAAAGTATTCGAGAACATGCAGTAAGAAAAAGGAACATTCCTGCTGCCAAAGGGTGCTAATTTTAAACACGGCTTGAAAATGAGCTTACTCATGGAATACTAACACAAGAAAATAACCTTTTTGGGGTTGTTCGTTTTTCTTTTTTCTTTGATGGAAACTCTGAGAACCTTAATCCAGACTCCTCTTCAAACCCACCCGGAAGAAGCACTGTTTTGCTAAGTCCTCTGCTCAAGTGTGTGCAGCGAGGCTCTCTTTCTCTTTCTATCATGTTTCTAAAGTGCCTCCCTCTCACCGGTTACCAGGCAACAGAACAATATTGCTCTGCATGCTCGTCCAGCAATAACTGGCATTCTACTGTAGTTTCGCAGTTTCTCAGAGAAAATAAAGATGTTCTGAAATACTGTCTTGTGTGATGAGCAGCTACTGTCCAGAAGACATTTAAACATTTAAATGTTTACAAGGCCAATTTCTTTTGTCAGAGAAAGTCAGAGAATGATAATAACCTTTGTTTAATGGAGGAGCTCCCATCCTAAGTAAACTTTAAGGCTAAAATAGACCACGCTGCAGAAAATAAAAAAGCTGCTTCAGTTTTTATTTCAAACAATTAACAGCCTTTTAGGTTCTATTAGTACTCACATAACCCTTTTTCTTAAAATCAAGGCAAAAGTAAAGCAGCAGCTAAGGAGTTAAAATATTTTTTGTGTGCTTTGAAAACTAAAATGCTGCCTGTATGATGAAGTCCTCTTTTAGTCCTATTTTATTTGCTGTTCTGATGTCAATAAAACAGTCAGGAAAGCTCAGCACTTTGCCCAAGATTCACCACTATTGAGAGCAGCCATTAAAGATGGGCCCAGACTCAACCAAACCACATGCCATCACTGAGCCCAAATGACCACAGGAAGGAAGGGACAAGCCTCAGCCCTTCATATGGAACCAGGTGCTGTTCAAGAAAAAGCTTGACTGACCCGAGTGACTCTGGGTCTTTTGTGAAGCTGTGATTCAGCTTCACATTTCACACTGTAGATCAAATTCACCTCAAAGTAGCACAAAGATAAGAAATTGCTGTGCAGTTTTTTCACTTCCCAAAGAATGGAGATATCTTTAATTATAAACAAATGTTCCACCTAGTCCCACCAAAACACTGTATGTAGTGAATTCTTATTTTCTTAGTAACTAAAAGTTATGCAGCTCAATATCCAAAGAAGGACAGTAAATTGTTCTTGCAGGTATGTTAACTTTACCTGAAAGCAACATCAGAGGTGAGCTTTGAAATCTCAGAATACTCAGTAGTAAACATTTTTTGATTGGTTAAGTTGCATCATGGTTCAAGAGATTTCAATTTAAAATTATAAGGAGCACTTCCGTTTTTGTTACGCTTGTCTTACACCTTTCTTTCTTGTTTTAGATTTTTAAATGATTAATGCTTTCAACTTTGATAAAAATCTGTTCCCAGAATTATTTGAATTGTATTGAATTGAATTGCACAAAGGCAGTGCATCAAGATATACACGACAACTAGAAAAAAAAACTGTTTCATTCCCCAGTGCTATTGATGCACAATTGGTATGTAGACAGCATTAAGATTTGTGGCTCACTTTCTTGGACCTAGGAAAGAAGAAGGCATAATGATGCATTCTCAACTTGTCTAGGTAAGATAAATATCAATACATATGTTTGACACAGTGTTACTCCAAAGGTCAGCATAAATGAGCACTGATGCTGTACTATAAACACCTCAGTTCTGCTTCTAGCTCTGAAAGGAGGGACCAAATCCAAACCTTGGATTAACTTATTTGCAGAATGGCTGAAGTATTAGCTGGCTGTTTCTTGTAGTGGACATATTATGTCTTGATCAAAAGAAAGACTCCAGTCTGAAGACCCTGAAATATAAATAGCAATCACAAGAACTAGCACCTCGAGGCATGACCTAGCTTAGTAGTAGTTAATGGACATTTCTTGTACACGTACAGCTTCTTCTAACTGGACAGAAAATAGCTTATTCTACAGTTTCTAAAATCCAGTACACTCAAGAGTACTTCCTGAACCTTATATAAAGTCCCCAAGTAGAAGGCAACAGCAGATTTTCTCTGCGGAAAAAAAAAAAAAAAAAAAAAAAGCAAACAAATCAGGTGGGATGACAGTGAACAGAAAGAGGATGTGCTAAAGAAGTCAGCTAGATCCCTGTGTGTTCATTCCAAGAGTCGGGCATTTTCATAGCAGTCAAATTTTGAGAGGGAAAAAGTTCAAGTCAGGCAGCAGAGGGTGAATGGTAACACCTGGACTTCCCTGAAGTAAACTTCCACTTTTTGTCCTACCAAAGTCATCTTTGAGTGGTGCCACTGAATGTTAAGGGAGAAACAAGCACTTATAAATGAGTATTCATTTTATTATATATTACCAATGCGTATTGAGTCCTTTTCACATGTACAGACTCACAACTTACCATTCAATTAGTTTAAGCTAAGCTAAATGAAAAAATAGATTGTGCTATAGCCTAAAAAACAATCAATAGCCACTGTAAGGATCGATGGTCTAAAAAACTATTGACTGCTCATGTCACAGCCCATACTTTCCATTCCACGCTAAACACAATTGTAGGTCGATATTTGCCAGATGTCTATTTGGAAGCAAAACATTCTGGCTGTAGTCTGTGTCCTTCACCTTGCAAAAAAATATCGGTTTTACATTTCATTTGAAACAACTCCTGGTGTGCCATCATATTCCACTAAGAGCATGTCCTAGAAATCTCATTATTTTCCTTTTTTGGACTTTATGAGGGTGGTACTTCCCATGGCATTCATTAGTCCGCCCCACACTGTATGAATCCAGGGTTCATCGTTCTGACAGCAGAGACATGTTCATTCAGCTAAAAATGGAACGAGAGGAAATCACCCAGTCTATTCATGAAGAACCATTTCTCATCCTTAGATAGAGTTGACTATCAAGACTAAACACTTTACAGTGAGCTGCTGCTCTTGCTTATCAATATAATTGATGAATCTCCTAAAAACCATCACCTCCTTTTAAAAAAATGAAAGGCTAAACAACACATAAACTACTTTAGCAACCACAATCCCAGTCTCTCTGCTGTACAAGCTGCCGCTCCTCCAAATAGATTTGAGGCACTGACTTTGTTGAGTATGGAGGTGTTACCATTCCTCCATTGAAGGCAGATAGGCACTCACACAGGCCAAGCTCAAAGGGCTGCAGGATGGACAGAGGCCGTACTGATGAGCAGCGGGATGATCCTGTGGGTAGGATTCCTCTGTCCTGAGTCCTGTGAGAAGAACGGTGTAAGTGCTGGTGTACTGAAAGGGCTGCAGGATCTTCTGTTGTCAGAGAGGGAGAGAAGGTTTAAATAGGTAATTTTTAGAGGCTGTCAAAACTGAAAAGTGTAAACATTGTTAACATTTCTTTAAAATTCTGGCAGGGAATGAAAGCTGCCTGGATGTGTGCCATCCTATAGTTGCAAAAAAGTTTAGCAAACCATATGCTGCCCTAGGAGACAGGTCCCAGCCAGATCCAACCTGCTAATGCTCCAGAGAGAAGCACCAGCAGGCCTAGGAGTACTGCTGCCATTTCCCAGCTCAGCACCACCGCTGCTTCCTGCTTCTGCAGCAGTTTGAGAGATGTGTTGCACCAGGTCCTAGAGACAGTGAGCATAGCTGATTTTGACGGCAGGAAGCATAGATGCTCCTCTTTCCAACTGTAAATGTCTCTTCTTTCCATTTACATTTATGTGGTAGGTATTTGAATATCTATCTGATTATTAAGGTTTTTAAACAGAGTCTAAATTCTCTTCCCAGTTGATGTTGAATGAGAAAATTCTGTACAGAACAGTTCCCCCTCATCAGTATAATTCTGCAGTAATTTTCCTGGCATCATCAGCTCTACATCAGTGTGAAATGGGTATAAGCAATTTCACAGCCAGATATTAGGATTTTTCACAAGTTTTCTGTAGCTGTAACCAAAAACACTGGTTCAGTGACTGCAGTGTAGATGTTTTTAGCATGCTGCCAATGACTGCAATTCAACATGATTCCAAAAATCAAAACATCAGTTTCTTACATTTTGCTCTCTTGTCCTAGCAGCTCTGATGAAGTTGTGAGAGTATGCAACTGTAACTGAAAGTGAACTTGGCCCAGCAACGCAAAACGCCATTCGAATTTCAAAACAGGCAACATTTTGCAACAGTAACAAACATTCCCCAACCCCCATGAATTACATACACTTGCACAGACTTCTGTTTGGTCTACAAAAGGTTCGCATTTTCCCTAAACTCCAAATGGCAAGGTCTGCATCTCCCATCCTCTGAACTGGAGGTTCCTGCATGCCCACAGTCTCAGTGTTAATTAATTGTGTGCTATTCAATCCCCTATTTCCTCAGTCTCATAAACTATTCTGGGCCTTTTGGCCTGATATTAATTACTGTGCCCTACAATTCACACCTGCAAATTTTGTCTTGGACTTGAACTCTCTCTTATGGTGACTGCTCCAACCATACATGTAAGTCTTTCTCCTAGAGCCCAATCAGACTCTCCTGGCTTTAACATCTGTAACATATAAGGTAACTATCAGCTTTATCATCCTTCAGCATCCTATCTTGCTCACTGTCCGTTTCTGCTCCTCCTCCTCTTCCACAAATACTCTACTCCTTTTTCACGTCCAAGGGAAAAACTTCAGGTACCATTCTCTCCTTCCCCCAGCCCTGAGCACAGGGCAGAAGTAGAAACAAGGCATTTCTGTGGAGGCTGGGGCACAGAGAGAGCTTACAAGCATTCAATGCCATCCTTGTAGATTAATGTCTTTTCCTAGTGGATGAACACATGAGTTGGTTTGAACACTGCAGTCACACCAATTGATCAGCAATATTACTACTGCTGGTTATAATCAAGACTTTTACTATATCAGGGAAAATATGAGGATCCTAGTAGTGACTTACTTAGGCACACTGGGCAGGGCTGCCTAGGTGGGCTAAAGAGCAACAGCACTGCAAGCTCCTGTTGGAATTTTCCTCCCCAGCTGCTCTGCAGCATCGGTATGGGGCTGAGGACAATGTCAGCAGGAGGCTGACAGAACTGTCAGGGATGATCACTGCCAATGAATGCCCTGCGGGGCCTCCTGGCTTCCCCAGAGGCTGCTTCCCAGCTGTGTGCTGCTGGTGATGTGTGGAGAAGCCAATGCCGCAGAAGCAACCAGCAGGGAGATGGCAAGCAGTCTCAGGAGGACTGCAGCAGCAGGAGGGCCGCGGAGCATTGCACTTTGAGACAGAAAATCATGAGATGAAGGGAGGTAAAAATACCAACCTCTTTCTTTCTGCTTGAAGTACTGCGCTCTTCCTCCCTTCTCCCCACCCCACTTTTAGAATAAATGGCTTCCATTAAAGGATGACAGCGCTCTATCAGTGCTCTTGAAAAAGCAGACCCCTGTCACCCTTGCCAGCATGGGCCCACTGCCTGCAGGAGCTCTGGCTCTGCATCTCAGGCATGGTCACAGCCATATCACCACAAGGACAGCTGGGCCAGGACTGCTGACTCAGGGCATGGTTCAGCTCCACAGCTGCACAGAGAGGTTAAACTGGCTTGTTCCACATATCACATCTGTTTGGGAACCTTGCACCCTGCACTGCCCCTGTGCAGAAAGAAATAGGAATACAGTGTATAAAAAGAGCCACACAGCATGGGCTCAGATAAGGAATCCAGGCTTGGGGATAACCCCAATGTTCAAGAAAAGGATAATTTTCTATGAGAGGAGAAATAGCAAGACTTAGCAGAAGGCAACAGGAAGGGGCAGTCTCCACATGAGGGGAACAAGCTCACAGTTTGCATTTTCCTGTTAGAGAAATCTAATATGACCTATAGAAAGACACATAGCAGATCTTTCTCTTCCTCCAGCAGGTTATTATTCTCACAATCTACTTCACAAGCAGAAGCCAAAACTGCAGTAGTATGACCCAAGCCTTTTTAAAAATAGCCTACCAAGGTCTTTTCTATTTGATTACTGCATCATAGAAATTTCAAGATGCACATTTTTGGGATTGTAGTGTCAAGAAGCTGAGAATCTTAGCAACCACAGTCAGCTAATACCATTAACTGCAGACAGCTGTATTTCAAAGAAAAACACCAGCTACCTGTTTCAAGCAATGATGACTTGGAGAAGCCTGAAAAATCCTACAAGAATATGATGCAGAATGCTGCAGATATCACCATCATTTTATTTTTTTTTTTTTAATTAAATTAGGATTAGCTGGAATTTTATTTAAAACGCGCAAACGTTTTCCATTATGCACCCTGATGATATGGAATTACAGTAATGTACGTATAAAAGACTTTTCAGTGAGCAATAAGAACCAGGATTTTGCTAGTGAACTTCTGAACTTCTATTATTGCGCTGGTAAAGGCAGAGAGGCAGTGTTAGGAGGGGTAGGCACTGAGTGTAAATTCTTTCTTTGTGAGGCCTTTTGAGGACAAAACAGTCATAAGAAGTCTATCCCAGGCCTTCCAAAGCAATTTGTGCTCTGAAGCCAACCAGGAAACAGTCCCAGCCAGTATTCAGGCAGATGCCAAGAACAAATATATTCAGTTAAAGAAAATATGTTAACAATGCTTTAATTTTCAATAGATGTAATCAATATGTAGGCAAGCCAACAAAAATATGGCTGGAGATGCCACTGGAAAAGATCAAGAAAGTATTGAGCTATTCAAATCTACCCTATGCGTAATATCTTGTAGTGTGGTAAAGTTATTTTATTTGCCTGTAATTCCAGACAATTATTGTGTCACCAGCAAGTTTGGATTTGAATAAGACTGAGATAGAAACCATGGTAATCCTTTCTTTTTTGTTGAGCTAGAGAACACTTCTGCAAGCAGGAAATGACTACACCACTGGCAAAGTCAGGGTGAATCTTCCCCCTAAGTAAAAGCCTCAAATATATTAAGACATGCAAAATAGTTGTGAGGTGGCAACATCACTAAACATCCTGATGCTGAAGGATGTCTCTGACAAATTATAGCTCAGTAATTTATTACAGAATGAAATATTCTGTATAGCTTTCCCATCTGTAGTGGGAATAATGAAAGATTTCGGCAGTTTGTTTGAGAAGTTATTTCAAACCTGTAAATGAACTGTAATTTTTAGCAAGTAAGTGCTATCATCAATTAGTTTTTCATCCTCTTCTTTTGTCTTGTATCCTGTTTCTCTTTATTGCCTTCTTATCTTCCATGTTGCCTTTCTCTAAATTGTTGTTCTACCAAATTAAGTTGGTAGAACACGTCAGGTGGTAGAACAATAAAGTAGGTCTGTCCAGCCCGACAACAGGCATGATGGGCAAGAGAACCCAACACAACCCCCATGCATCAAGCCTATATACTGTAGTTGGGTTATGCCTAACAAAGATGCCTGTTCTTCAATTTTTAGTTTTAGTGCTCTTTCTCTATACTTTTTTCTTCTCCAGTGAGCTGAAATAATTCATAGTGCTGGACTTAGGAGCCATTTCCTCCCCTATGAGAGCCATCAGTTGAGAGGCATTGTTCATTTTCTTCTCCTTTTATTACATGATTTTAAAATATAGCAATAAATTGTAGCATAACTTTAAGATTCACCACAGGCCAAAAAGAGCAGCAGTGCATTTTACTGGAGCAGAGCCTATCTCCACAGATGTTATAACTAACAAGGTACTGTATTACAAAATCTACAAACAGGGATTTGACTTAATAGGTTGGGAAGGTTGTTTAAACAGTCAAGTTATTGACTATTGCTTCAAGATAGATTATGCAGAGAATTCAAATGCTGTTTACTCTTGCCTTACAAAAAGTCTGGGTCTGATAAAATATGCAATTTATTTATTGTATTTAATAATATTTTTTCAGTAGATTCACACTTCCAGATCATGGTCAAATTTCTCCTTATCCTTCCTCCTACTGTCCTTATCTGCCTTTCCCACTCCTTCACTTATTTTTAAAAACCTCCTATGTTTTCCAGCACCCATGCTCTCCCTCCCTCCAGTCGCCACAACTTGCACCTTTAATTTTCCAGTATTTTTGTTTTTCTTTATTCTTTTGACATCTAGGATCTTCTCTACTACTGTTACTGTATATGACAACTTCTGTATTTTCCAACCATCCCTACCCCCACCCATTAACAGAATTACCTTAACTGTTTACCTGCATCTTTGACTCCCACCAATAACCCTTAGAATTTCTGTCTGCTATTCCTCAGAAAGATTTCTGTACATGCTGAATACCCTGCAATCTTCTCCTATTAGACCTCCTGCTATTTGTTCAAACTCTTGAAGCCCATCCAGTTTCTGCTGTATACTCTGGTTCCTTTT